CAGTTGGCGAAAACGCGGGCAGGTCCCAGCATAGCCCACGAAATCGTCAGGTAAATTTTTCGATCCTGTCATGTTTTCAACTTGAACGGCTCACGATGCGTACTAAGTAGTACAAATGCTTCAAGTAGCACGACCAGAGAAGGTCGCCGACGAGGACCACGATCACAGAGAGGGCGTATCCAAGGTCGCTCAGGTCTTCGGCGCTTCAGCATACAGCATCTTTATATAGGAAGAACCGGACGTCCTCACTGTCAGAACATGCTCATCCACCGAACTTCGAATCTCTACCGGTGGTCTTCGGACTCTATACACAGCGGCCCGCCTCCACCACAACATCGTCACCCTACCCCAAGATACGTGAGACTTGAAGCTTTTTTGCGGGTGCTCAAGGCAGTCATATCTTCACCTCCACATCACGAGGGCAGATCACGCCCATGCCACACACGCCCATGTGTCGCGCTTCTGTACGCGCGTTCCTCGTCTCCTGGCAAACTGCAGTCATGCACCGACCCCTTTCCCGTTCGGACCGCACCATCGCGAGGTTCCTCCGCCCCTAATAGACCCCCTTTGCCGACTCACCACGGCCGATCTTTCGACCCCCCGCACGCCCGCCCAACCATGTCCTGGCCGATCGCGTTGCTCGCGCTCTCCTCTCTCCCGCAAGTGCTCAGCATCACCTACTCGACGTACGCCGCGGACTCGGGCATCGCGCGCGGACAGGGCAACGGGCTCAGCGCGGGCGCGCCGACGGTCTCGTACGAGCACGGCGAGTTCCAGTGGGCGCTGCGGCTGCTGTTCGAGAGGACGGGCAACCGGACGTATTTCGATTACATCAAGGCCGGGGTGGACAACATCGTCGACGCGAACGGGCACGTCGGGGCGAACTACGTGTGGGTGGCTCTACGGCTGCGTGCTTCGTGCGTTGATGCGGATGGGAGGTAACGATGCGATCGCAGGCTGGACGAGTACCAACTCGATCCGTTGCGCGTCGGGCCTTCCTTCCTGTACTTGTGAGTTTCTCTGACGCACTCTGTCCTTCGCTATGCCCGAGGCCGACGTTCTGATGCGGCACCCAGGTACGACGAAACCGGCGACGAGCGATACAAGAAAGCCGCAGACCAGTTCCGCGCGCAGCTGGAGACGCACCCACGCACGACGGAGGGCCAGTTCTGGCACAAGGCCATCTACCCGAACCAAGGTGCCGTCTTTATTATCATGCCTTCCTCGACATCCTAGCGCGTGCTGACGACGGGGACAGGATGGCTGGACGGGATCTACATGGGCGACGTCTTCTACGCGACCTACACCGCCGCCTTCCAACCCACGAACCGCTCCGCCTGGGGTCCGTCCGCGTCCCGCTCCT